ACATATATTGAATCGAAAAAAATTTTTTTCTTTTTTTTTTAGGTTCGCAAACACATCACACCAACTCATACAATAGTGTCAAACAATATATAGATAAATATCGTGCTGCGCTCCTCTATTATTATCATCAAAGACACATTGATTACGTGTAAAAAATAAACTAAAATAAAATCTAATATAAATGAAGTGTGAAAAAAACAAAACAAAATGTGAAAAAAAACAAATGTCCACTGTGCTTATACAATCCCTTTATACTATGGAAATAAATGTATCATTGTATATCCAGAGACTGATACATAAGAGTCCTCTTTCTTTTTGAGAAATCTGTGCTAATTAGATGAATACACTACAGGTTCCAAAAACTTTTGCAGCATAAATACAGCTCTATCATGCGTTCACCTCCGTCTCCAGCCTCAGCAGGCTAAATCACGCAGTTTATCCTATAAAATAATGAAGTATGCTTGGCTGCTTATCACCTTCAAACAATCTCTCCAAACCGCAGTTTTCCTGGTTAACCTGGTGTCACTCCTCTCCTCATTATCCTGTATGGATCTATGGGTGTGTGGATGGTTAGATGAATCTTCCCTCCTCCTCCCCTCCAGGGGAACAATCCTCCAGAATTACTCCAGTAAACTCCACATATATAATTGCAAAGTAAAGCAGAAGATAGTGCTTTATCCTTATAAAACTCCTTTTATTGCCAAACTCTGTCTGTCACACTCACATTTTTTATTAAAATAAACAAGCCTTTAAGAAGAAAAGGTAGCAGTGTGTTAACACACACTGTGTCTGTACTCGCCAGAAAAGCCGACTGCACGCGGTGACGTCAGAGCCCCTCCCCTACGCGTTACGCCACCGGTCACGTGGCTTCATCAGGGGGAAATGATCAGGGGTTTCAGTAAACCAATACTGGTTCATTTTAATAAAATTAAGCTAACAGAGTTCTGCTGCGAATGAGCCTTGAGCATAGTGGTGTCCTGTACCCATGCCACCAAATGGATTAGGATGACTAGATGACTGCTCCTCTCAGTCATCTGCAAGCTGCCCCTGAACACGATTATCTTTTGGTGCTGTTCTGCCACTCCCTTAGAACTTTCCTCCTCTCAAATCAATGGAACCACATCTCATTGCTGTAGGCCACTTGGCAGTAAGTACGAACTCCTGGAACATCACTTGCTCCTCCCTAAATGATGCCCTTCTCCTCTTTGGTCCTGGTGCTCCCTCCTTTCAATATCTTAAGGCTCCATGCACACTGGCTTAAAAAAAACGCTGGAGGAGTTTTGCCTGTAGAAGCAACTAATGTTATCTTACATGTCCATGCCCATTAGAACGTCTAAAGGTGTTTTATTTAAGCTCAGCATTTAGAGGCAGAAAAAAAACCCCTTCTGTTTTGCATATTTGAGTGTTTTTCTGGTAGAAAAAATGCTAAACGCTAGTACAAAAACTTTAAAAATTAGCATTTTTTCTGCCAAGAGCACTGGCAGCTACCCACTGTAGGTGGGCATGTGGGAGATGCATGTGCAGCTTAAGCCACACGCCCATCTACACTGCAGAAGGGAGATACGTATAGAGTGGCAGCTTTGTATTAGTCGGTGAGAAAGTTGATTTATTTCTGTGTCCCCCACCAGAATGTTACCATAGGGGTTGACCTGCCAGGCAGAATAAAGACTAATGATGGTCAATAAGATTGTAAATTAATACAATGCATGGTGGAGGCAGAATTTATTATTATAAGCGGTGATTTGAAGTGTTAATCCAGCACTTTGCATTGTGAGTAGATTTTATCACATATTCTTTTTTTTTTGCTGAAAATTATGGAATGGCATGTATACAGGAGGAATTTACACTAATAATCACATCAAGCATTTTAGACCTTGTTGAGATAAAGGTCAAATACCACTCGTGAGTGATTCTAGACAGACACTGGTGTTGGATTCACAGTGTGTGTAGCATGGTGTCTATTTGTGAAGAAGCAGAAGGAAAATAAGGACACAATATATACATTTTAGAGACTTTATTTAGAATATTATTGATTTGTTTAAAAAAGTCACCTTACAGCTGTTAAAAAAACATATTTTGTTTATAGGAATAGATGGTGTTATGAATCCATAATTTCATTTATATTTTGGCATGAGCACAAAAAAATAATTTTACTTTCACTATTTGCGCTATCAGGTAGCAGCCGTCGATCGGATAAGATCAGCTCAGTTCTGGAATTGTCTGAGGATATTGTCAAGGTGAGGGATGTCAAGGTGTTGTCTGGCATATTGTAACCGTGCTTTTTTGTGGCATTGGTGCAGTAAAGGCTTCTTTCTGGCAACTCGACCAAACAGCTAATTTTTGTTTAAGAATTGTTATGTGCTCCTTAAAAAAATTCACACTGTCTTTTTCCAGAGCAGCCTGTATTTCTATTGAGGTTACATGTGGGGTTTTCTCTGTATCCCAATTTTCTGGCAGTTGTGGCTGCAATCTTTCTTTGTCTACCTGACCTTGGCTTGGTATCAACAGATCCCAGAAATTTCCACTTCTTTTATAAGTGATTTAACAGTACTGACTGACATATACAAGACTTTGGACATCCTTTTATATCCTTTTCCATCTTTATAAAGTTCCATTACCTTGTTACGCAGTCCTTTTGACAGTTCTTTTCTGCTACCCATGGCTTAGTATCTAATCTGCTCAGAGAATCCACTGAGAGCTAAAAAACTCACTATTTATACACACATACTAATTGCAATTTAAAAGCCATAGATATGGAAAATGAACCTTTAATTGACATTTTAACCTGTGTGTGTCACCTTGTGTGTCTGTACCAAGGCCAAACATTCTAGAGTATGTAAACTTTTGATCAGGGCTATTTGGGTAATTTCTGTTATAATTATGATTTTAAAAGGAGCCAAGCAACTATGTGATAATAAATGGCTCCATATGATCACTTTCTTTAAATAAAAAAGTTTTTTGGCATGATCAGTCATATTTTCAATAAAAATGGCACAATTTCACAATTTCTGCCAGGGTATGCAAACTTTTGAGTACAACTGTATGCTTAGATAGTGGCACCTCCTCCTGCTTTGTTTTTATATGTGCACTAGGTTTACTCGGGATTTGTTTACAGGGGAGCTGCAGCCATCAGTCAGCAAAGACTTTTAACCATCACCTGACCATCTATTAGCAAAGACTTTTAACTATTTTCTGACCATATCCTCCTATATCTGTTTTTTCCAAGCAGTGCACTAGCCATAATACCTCCTAAAGAAACATGGAAGACATTAGGAATCTATAAATGTGAAGGTAGACAGAGCTTGAAAGCGACAGGATTAACCTGCCAAAAGATTGTAAAGGGACCAATGAAATGAGGAGCAAATTTAATTGAGATGAATATTCTCAGTAGAGAGCCATACCGTGTTGCCAGGTAAGAATTTGGGACTCAGTGATAATGATTTGAAGCTGCTTTGTACTTGGAAGCTGCCAAATGTAAGTTCTTGGAAGCATCTGCCAAGATAGATTTGAAAGATTGTTGAGTCTCTGCAGCCATTGGCATCACAGGAGAGGTGGGAATAGGAAATGGTATAGAAGGATTATGAGCATACACTGTGAAAAAGGGAGACTCGCCAGTGCTAGAATTAGCATGGTTATTGAGGGCAAACTCAGCCCAGGATAGAAGGTCTATCCAATCATCCTGATGAGCAGAAATGAAGGCATGAGGATACTGTTCAACATTCTTATTTGACTGCAGATGAAAGGCAGAGGAGAAGTAAAGACAAAAAATTTCCTTTATGAAGATAGAAGCTAGAGTGACAGCTGAAGGTAATCCTGGAAGTGGCACATTTTAGAAAACTTGTCCACAACCACCCAGAAAACGGTGGAGCCTGCTGAGGAGGATAGTTCAGAGATAAAGCCCATGGCTATACAACGTCAAGATTCATCTGGAATTGTTAGAGGTGAAAGAGATCTGATGGAGCAGACATGGAAGACTTTGACTGGGCATAAATGGAGCAAGCCTGAACATAATCTTTAACTTCCTCACGAAGGGAAAACCACTTGTAGTGATGCTGCAGGAAAGCACAGGTATGCTGTACACCAGAACGTCCAGAGAGTTTGGAGTCACATGTCCATTTGAGAAGCTTGGAGCGAAGGGCGGGCATCACAAAGGTTTTTCCAGGTGGGATACGTGAAGACTAAGGATGGGTGGTGGCCAGGATACAATTGGCAGGAATAATGGGTTCTGGTGGGCCAGAAAGTGATAGAAGTTAAAAGGATATAAATTCACATAAGAGCAGGAGACGCCCATAGGTGAAGCAAAAAACACACGTGAATAGGATCACAGGTCTAGCACAACCACAGCAGCAAGAATTTCACAGGCAGTAAACTGCAGGCTAAATTGTGGCACATATCCTTAACATAGATGGACCCTTCTGATATGATCAAGATTTATGTAGGAACATCTTAACTTTATACTGTTGAGCTCAAAGTTAGTTACCTTTAGTTACCACCCATCCACACTATCTAGTGGGTTGGAATAGGTTGGCTGTTGCATCTTATTCAGTTTACACAGTTAGGATTGGGGATGTTGAGAGACTAATTCCCCAGCAAGTCTGCTTTCCTTGTGATTGACAGCAGACCACATTGGGCTGTTTCCACAGCCTGTACACAGCCAGCTCGGGCAATGGGATCCACCCGTAGCACCTTCCTAGCTGGGGGTCCTATTTGCAAATCTGAGTCTGGGGATCAAGTCGGGTCTGGAGATGCTCACTGGAGAAGAGGTTGGTGGGAAAACATCCAGCTGCCCTATAGTGGAATTCTTACTGGAAAGAGCCTTGTGGATATTGGCAGGAGGAAAGCTATGATCCTGTGGCTATGTGAGTAGATGAACTAAGTGCTGAAGAATAGTGACTGCGTGTAGCTTTGACTGTTGAAGGAGTGCAGGTCACCATCAGCTTAACCACCTTCTGCCGCCATATAGTACAATGACGGGCGCAAGGTGGTTCTCTCGTTCTGATAGGGCGTCATATGATGTCCTTCCATTCTCACCGCGCATGCGCGGCTCAGGGAGCGCGCAGCGCGACGATCGCCGATCACAGCGCATCACGGAAAGAGCCAAAGATGTCGGCTCGGTCACGTGATCAGCTGTGTCCAATCACAGCTGATCACATGTAAACACGGAAATGCCGGTTATCGGCATTTCTCTCCTCTTGAGCTGTCAAGCTGACAGCTCGAGAGGTGAGGAGAGCTGGTAATTGGCTTTCTGCGGAGGGGACATGTACACTGATGATCAGGGCACTGATGATCAGTGTGCCCTGATGATCAGTGTAGCCCCAGCAGTGCCACCTGGCAGTGTCCATCAGTGCCAGCAGTCAGTGCTCATCAGTTCCACGTGCCAGTGCCCATCAGTGTCACATCAATGCCACATATCAGTGCATACCAGTGCACATCAATGCCACATATCAGTGCCCATCTGAGCTGCCTTTCAATGTCACCCATCAGTGCCAGTCAGTTCCACCTATCAGTGATGCCAATCAGTGCCACCTCTCAGTGATGCCAATCAGTGCCACCTCTCAGTGATGCCAATCAGTGCCACCTATCAGTGATGCCAATCAGTGCCGCCTAACAGTGCCAGGCAGTGCCGCCTAACAGTGCCAGTCAGTGCCGCCTAACAGTGCCGCCTATTAGTGTCATATATCAGTGTCATGTATCAGTGCTGCCTTTCAGTGCCCATCAGTGATGCCTGTCAATGCCCATCAGTGCAACCTACCAGTGCCTCCTCATCAGTGCCACCTATCAGTGTCCATCAGTGCAGCCTATCAGTGCCCATCACTGCAGCCTCATTAGCGCACATCAGTGAAGGAGAAAAATCACTTATTACAAAATTGTATAACAAAAACTAAGAAAAAAACGTTTTTTTTTCAAAATTTTCAGTGGTTTTTGGTTTGTTTAAGAAAAAATAAAAATCCCAGAGGTGATTAAATACCACCAAAAGAAAGCTCTGTCACAAAAAAATGATAAAAATTTCATATGGGTACAGTGTTGTATGACCACGCAATTGTCATTCAAATCTGGAAATTGGCCTGGGCAGGAAGGGGTATAAGTGCCCTGTAGCCTAGTGGTTAAATATGCCATGGGACATTAATTTTTTTACAGTTTATCAGGGTATCCCATGCTCCCTATACCTAACAAGTTCACCTTTCCCAATAAAAACCCAAAAACAAACCCCTAGACGGTTTTTTTAAGCCAGTGAAAGTGTGTAAAAAATGTGGTGTGTCTGGCTGTGTGCTCTAAGAGGGGAATAGGACGTGCGCAAAACACCTACAGTATAGCCATCCACTGTCAATCACAAGGCAGGTGGACCTACTGGGGAATGAGTTTCTTGGAGTTTCCTCTCAGGTTTGCTTCCCCTTGTGACTGACATTGGAAGGCAGTGGGCAGATTTCATAGCCACGATTGGGCTGTTTACCTGGCTATGCAATCCACCCACTGTCATCTGCTGTCAATGAATGGGGGGTGAATCGGATTGAGAACTCCAAGTCTCTAAGAGGCTTTGTCCACCCTACAACAAAACTCCTCAGCCACTATGTCTGTTTCTGTGACAAGTGTGCTGGCTGATCAGGAAGCGCAATGCCAGATGCATCCTATGACAAATTTGAGTACCGGTTTCTGAAATGCACATGAATCTGCCACAAGCACCAACAATTATGCTCTAAAGAATCTCAAATGGATCTCAAATACAAGCTCAATGCACCTAATATCTTGCTGTATTTGCCCATTCATGCAAGGTCTGATTCTGCCAGCTTCTAAGCGTGTTGTTTCCCATGTATATATAATGCTATGTTAACCAGCAATACCTCTATATTACAATTTATAGCAGAGGTAGCATGTTGTACACCTTTTAGTTTTTAGAGATGGGGAAGAGGTACGCCTTTTAACACAAACAGGTATTGCTTCTCACTTAAAATGCTCATGAAAACAACCAACACCTTATAATTAATTGATGGATCTTTTTCTGCAGGTCTTGTAAATGATTTTCAGAGCAAACAGTGCTGGTCTCTTTTGCATTGGAGTTCACTCACAGTAATTAAGGTTTTGTCTATATTACCTTCTGTGCCATGGAAGATGTGCTTAGCATACAGGGAAGGTAGCATGCTAGTAAAATGATTTTTAGAAATGAAAGTGATTCTAAAGCCTAAATATTTTTTAATCTTAATACATTCCCTGCATTAACCTGTTCCAGCTGATGTGATGTATATATGCAGCCTCTCGGCAGGTGGGCTTTAAAGCCGAGCACCCTGCATATATACATCCATTTGTAAACAATTTACTCTGCTGAGAGCACACTCACTGGGCTCTTCCAGCACAGCAACAAACATATAACAGAAAGCTCCCGATGCATACTTGCAGTCGGGAGCTTTCCGATCAGGTGACCGTTGTGACAGCCAATCACAGCAGTCATGTGATTTGAATGCCCCTCTCAGCCTCCCAGAATTTCAATCCCTTTAAAGGGCCAGGAAACAGCAGCAAGAAGGGGTTAAGGTAAAAAAATGTTTAGGCATCAGTATTGCCCCCTTACCCCCCTTATACTCACCTGAGGCCACAATCAATACTTGCGTTCGGGAGCTTTCCAATCAGGTGACCACTGTGACAGCCAATCGCAGCATTCACATGTTTGGAATACCCGCCTAAGCCTCCCAGCATTTCAATCCATTTAAAAGGCTGGGAGACAGCCACAGAAAGGGGTTAAGGTAAAAATATTTAAACCTCAGTATTGTCACCCCCTATAATACTTTCCCGAGTCCACACTCGATCTAGCGTTGTGCCTGCTTGCAGTTTGCTCTTTTTTTCTCTAGCTCTCACAGTATAAACTGAGAGCAGTGAGATTGATTGGTTCCCACTGCTGTCAGTCAAATCCTGTTATGCGGTAGTAGGGGGTGGGGCCAAGCCGTGCTGTCTGTGTGTCTTGATGCATCAGTGCAGCTTGGAATCGAGCCCTCATGAGTGCCCCCATAAAAAGGGTCTTTATCCCTATGTTTTCACTTTATGATTTGGCCAGTAACAAATCTCCTGTATTAGAGTGCCTTCACTCTGGATGTAGGAGCACATGGGGCACATTTAGACAGCAATATTGTGAATCTAGGTGGATGGGCAGTGTTAGATGTACTAATAGATATATACATACTCTAACAAATTAAAGCTAAACTCCAGCTAACATTTTATAAGCAGTTACAACAAACATGTTTTTCTTCTTTTGGGACAAAAGTTTTATAAACAGTAAATAAATAAAACTGATCATTGTAAGGACCCCTGCCAGTGTTGAATGGTTTGTATTTTCCTTGTAACTTATACATCTGAAAGAGAACTTGTTCTTTTGAATAACGGATTTAGTGGCCAGATCACCAGATGAAAATAGAAGAACACCTAAAAAAAGAAAACAAATGCAGCCATCACATCTAAGACTTGGTACGCTGCAATAGAATAGCAAATACATGTTTGCTTTTGGGTTTAACACCACTTTAAATGTGATATGCTTCTGTCAATGTTGCCCTGATAAACAGCAGAAGCAATAGTAGTGCTACTGTGTTAACTGTGTAGCACTACCCCTTTAGGGATTGGCAATTAATTTGTGTCCCCCTATAGTGCTGCACAGCCAGTCAGTTAGCATTTTCCACATGGCTTTCATCCACAGATAGATATCAGGTCTTGACATTGGTTTTGTTATCTTATTGAGGGGATTAAACTTGGATGGGGTAAAGGGGTGTATAGGATGCCCAAGGGAACCTGAAATAACTTCCTGAACTATTTACAGCTTCTTTCCTCTGACATAGTCTCTGTTGGAGTGCTAGCCATCAGCTTCAGTTGTACTACTCCAGACCCTAGATGAACTCCTCTTCACCCAGTAAACTGGAGGCTTTCTTCCTGAGCAGGGGATCTGGCTCCTGTTCCTTTAAGTGGATAACAATCACTAGCAGAGGGCTAATCTGGTTTCCCACCAGAGTGCTCCTTCCCCATCTGCCAAGGGGGTGCAGGTGTACTCACTCAGATCCTCTCCTGTACCGCTTGCGGAATGGCTGCTACTACCAGGCCTATCAGCTGGGCTGCTCCTTTCCTGCCATAGAGATGGTCTTCGCTCAGGGAGCCAGTGAGTTCTGAGTTTCCCTCCTTTACAGCTCCAGGCTAGCAGGCAGGCCCTATCCCACTAGGCCTCCTGGTAGACTTCTTCCTTCAGAATCACATCTTTTTTTTCTCCTTCTTTCACCTGACTCCCTCCTCTGAGCAGGCTCTATCACATTTAAGGGAGTCCAGCCCCTTGATAAGCCTTCAGTTGGTGATTGATTAAGGTCTCTCAAAAGTGCAGCCAACCAGTCCTCAGATCCACCCACTGTCTCCAAGGCCCTTCTGCGAAAGTTTCAGAGCTGGGGGAAATTCCAGAGGGGCTGACCTGCAGAGTCTCTCAGTCCTGACCAGAATTTGACCCCTCTGACTATCTCACCTGAGCTGCTAATCAGCTCCTCACTAGCCATTAGGGTCTAGTTCCCCCTAGCTAAACTAGGAGGGTGCTACAACTGCATGGACCTTAAAGTGGAGCTCCACCCACAAGGGGAAGTTCTGCTTTAAGCCTTTGTCCCCCACTCCCGATTAAGGATTGGCACCTTGGGGGAGTGGGTACCTGAATTTGACAGGTACCTGCTCCTACTTCCGCTGGGATCGCCTAGGCGATCGGAGGCGAAAGTTGTCCTGCCCCCTCCCTCCCTGTAGTCTTCATTGACACGTGACAGGTCCCAGAAGACTATGGGCCATTCACAAAGTGCAGCGCTTCTCGCTTCTTGCTCACGCGCAGTGGGCACCCGGCTGTGAAGCCGCAAGCTGTGAAACTAGTGGTTGTAGGGACACCGCAGGACCAAGGGACAGTTCAGTTTCTGTATTTTAAAAGTCAGCAGCTACAGGTTTTGTAGCTGCTGACTTTTATATTTTTTTTTTCAGGTGTAACTCCGCTTTAATTGTTCATTGAAATATGTTTTCTAGTGCTTTATGGCCCATCTACTGGTTTTGCAGACATGCGTGCACATTGAATTGTGTGTTTTAACACATTATGTTACCTCAGCCCATTCATTTTAAACTGGCCCTTAACACAGGAAAATTCTCATGCTCCATTTTTCTGCACAGCAATGCACATTGTGGTGTGCTGCAGTGTGTTGTAATCCAGACATGCAGTGGGGTTCCATTCAGCACATTGCATTCTGATTGGTGTTACAGTGGTATGTGCATTTTACAATGCATTACAGCAGCACAATAGTGTGAGCAAGCCCTTAATATATACATATCTATACACAGTACAATCTATATTGTACATATCTTTATAAAATACAGACAAACCATTATCTTGTAGGGAAGACAGAAGGCCATCAACTGAGAATAATACAACCCGGCCAAAAGGTTACATGACTATAGTCTGCATGAACATCTGGTCATTACCTAAGGATAGGTAAAAATACGATTCCAAGGAACAAGATAAACCAGTCAGAATTCAAAGAAGCTATACAATATGAAAGGATATCTACA